AAACACTAAAAACACACTTAAACCCTTGTTTAAAACTTTCTTAAACTTGTTTAAAATCACTTCTTAAGTGGGTGTAAGAACTGAGGTCAATGGGGGGTATTTATAGCTCCCAAGACCTCAACCAAAAACCCCAAACAAAAGACCAAAAAGCCTCTCATAAACCAAACAAACACTAAAAACACACTTAAACCCTTGTTTAAAACTTTCTTAAACTTGTTTAAAATCACTTCTTAAGTGGGTGTAAGAACTGAGGTCAATGGGGGGTATTTATAGCCTCCTAAGACCTCAACCAATAACCCCAAACAAAAGACAAAAAAGCCTAAAGCAAACAGCTCAGAAAAATAACCGTTGGAAACCAACGGTTAAATCGATGGTCGACCGTGGAATTCTCGCGGTCGACCGCGAGGCACAAAAAAGGCTGAACAGAAGGTTTGAAAGTTGGCGGTCGACCGCGGCGATCGACCGTGACGGTTGATCGTGGGAAATTCTGAACTCACGGTCGACCACGACGGTCGACCGAGAAACTCTCTGTTGCCCACTGACGAAAGATCTTAGGCGCGGTCGACCGTGGCGGTCGACCGTGAACTGATATATGAAAAAGAAGTGCTGAAAACTATTTTTCTGATTTTAAAAATGAAAATGTAAACACATGAGTTTGATGTTTTGACCTAAACCAACTTTTGAAACTTTGCAAAATGATTATGTAGACTTAATAAAATATGTATATGATTATTTTTAAGTCTAAAAACTAAGAATATAATATTTTCACAAATATGCATATTCTATGTAATAAATACTAAAACACAATAGAGTATGAAATATATAATTTCATATATATAACCATAAAAACCCAAAACATATGTATGTATATATATAACTATATATATGCATAGAAACCAAAACTTATGCAAAATAGTCCAAAACATGAAAATGTAAACACATGAGTTTGATGTTTTGACCTAAACCAACTTTTGAAACTTTGCAAAATGATTATGTAGACTTAATAAAATATGTATATGATTATTTTTAAGTCTAAAAACTAAGAATATAATATTTTTACAAATACAATAGAAAATGAAACATATGAGTATGTATATGAAAATATATTTGTTTCATATCTAAGTAGATAAACCAAATCATAATAATAAATATGAAATATGTAATTTTATATTTGTAAATATGAAAACCCAAAATCATGCATGTATATATATAACTATATATATACATAGAAACCAAATACGTGTGTATATAATATTGAGCTTAGAGTATCTAACACACATAATATAAAATCTAAACTAGATTACCCAAGCTTGATCTT